GCCCCCGCGCCACCCTCGCCCCCACTTCATTGCAGTGTGTCCGGGCCTGCGGTCAGCCGAGAGGCAGGCCAGGCGCTACCGCACCTCCTCTATAAATAACGTAAATAAACAAAAGATGACCATTATTAATTGGGGCGGCAGGAGGCCAGGCCTTTTGTTTCCCCGAGGTGGCAACACCCCCATTCGGCCGCGCGCCAGCTGGTACACAGCCACAAAAATAATGACAGGGGTTTTTCCTTACCTGGCGGTGGTGCAGTCGCGGTACAGCGAGTCGAAGTCCTTGCAGGAGAGCAGCTTGCAGCGGTTGACGCCGGGCTGGATGGCGCCCAGGCCGCGGAGGATGCGCACCTGCTCCACGTTGCAGACGAGCGGCACGATGTCGAGGCGCTTGAGCTTGGTGTACACGGTGTGCAGCCCGCCCACCAGGTGCTTGAGGAAGAGCTCGAAGGCCTGCGGCAGGCACAGCATGGTCTCGCCGTTGATCATGAACGCCGCCACCTTCTGGCCTCGGTAGTTGACCAGCTTGCACTCGTTGGCCGTGGGGTCCGAGCTGGAGATGGGCGGCGGGCTGTTGTAGGAGCGCGGGGGGTGCGGGTGGCCGCCGGGGTGCTGCGGGTGGCCCGGGTGGCCCTGGTGTCCGTGTTGGGCCTGGGCCTGCGCCTGGGCCTGCGCCGCCGCCATGAACTCGAGCGGCGATCCCATGAGCGAGTTGAACAGCCCCAGGCCGGGTGGGCCGAGGTGCCTCATAGGGGACATGGGGTGGGGCGGGGCCATAGGGTGCGGCGGTCCGTGGGGCGCGCCGTGCGGGGGCCCGTGGGGACCCATGGGGCCGTGGGGGCCGCCGTGGGGCGCGTGCGACTGGATCAGCGCCATGGGACCCTCCAGCTCCTTGCTGTTGATGTTGTTATTATTGTTATTGTTGTTGTTATTGTTGATGTTATTGTTGTTGGTCGGCGTGGCGTCGCGCGGCGGGGTGAGGGGCGGCGACGACGTGGGCGGCTGCGCCTGCTTGACGCTCGGCGAGGTGTCGCCGCGTGGCGACGAGGCGTTACTGCTGCTGTTGGTGGACGAGAAGTCCATAACAGACTCCATGATCATAGTGCACGTCGTCTCTCTCTCGCGCTCCCTTCTCCCTCCTCACACGCGCTCACACACACGAGCGCACACACGGCACACACTCGGGGCGGTCACTGTCGTCTGCTGGCGGGGCGCGTGTCCGTCTGTCCGCCGACCCGTCCGTCCGTCTGTCTGCCGTCCGCTCGCCCGGGTTCTTGACGCGCGGGCTCCGCCGACAGGCACGGCCCGAGGAGTTCGCGGGGACGACTGAGCGGCAGCGCCGGCTCCTCGCGGTGGGGGCGCGGGGGCCC